ACTCTCACCCCCGAAGCAAACACAGGAGCAAGCCTCCTGGAAGGGCAAGGCCCTGGGGACAGAGTTCAAAGACTCTCGCCCCCGAAACAAACACAGGAACAAGCCTCCTGGAAGGGCAAGGCCCTAGGGACAGAGTACAAAGTCTCTCGCCCCCGAAACATACACAGGAGCAAGCCTCCTAGGACATTTCAAGGATTCCCACGAAAGTATACGCAAGAAAGAATTCAGAATCATGAATCACATTCTATCCGATATTAAACCTTTAAACAGAACTTTGTTCAAAAAGAGGGGCTTTGCGTCCCCAAAAGCTACAAGGAAAAAAGTATAGATCAAAAAAAAAGGGGGCGGGGGGCTTTCATCTTGCCCCGGGCATCTCCAAAATGTCCGCCGATGGCGAATCGGCATAGAAAGGTTGAGCAGCTTCGGGAGAAAGTGGAGTAGGAGGTACTTCAGCGACAGAAGGATCCTGAGGAATATTATGGTCTGGGTCCCGATCTGCCAGGGCCTCATCAGACAAATCCACTATTACCGCCTCAGGCAGATCCACTATTACCGCCTCAGGCGGATCCACCGAAACTTGCACCGGCGTTGGAATCTCGCCCTCGGCAGCAATCTCTGCTTCGGCCCGTTCCATCTCCGCCGAAGGCACGTACTTGTGCATCTGAAAAAGTGGTGAGTCTGACGGGATTCCAGCCGACTGGAGCGCCTCGTCCCAACCCCCTCTTGAAGAACTCCTTACTGTTTTCCTCAAGAGCAGGGAGCACGTCATCGGTGAACTCTTCTCGGAGTTGCTCCTCAGACTTCCTATTCAGTGCCTCATCCCTGATCCTGTCCAGCTCCTGGGTCAGAGCCAGGTAGCTTTCCTCCGAACAAACAGCCCTCTCCTCTGCCGCAGAGAGCCACTGCGTCTGTTCAGTTATCCTCCTCTCAGCGTCGGCAAGAGCAGCACTTAGCTTTGCAGCGCCGACCTTCGCCAACTCGGCCTCTTTGAGGAGTTGCTCGATTTGAGCAGCCTGCCCCGCGAGGGTGGAATCCCTTGCCGCGACATCCTCCCTAGCACTGGCAAGGGCTCCCTCGGCTTCTTCCTTCTATTCTCGAACCCGTTGAAGGTCCATCCTAATCCCATGGTACCGCGCCGCTATTATGGAAATCTGTTGGGTGGCCTGCAAATAAAAGAGCATGTCACTAAAGGGAAAATTGGGGCTAAAAGAGACTGAAGCAAAGATGAACTTACCACCAAGGAATTTTGGATGATGGAGCGAAACAACACGTTTGTTGATCGCCCCCTGTGAGTCGCCATGTCGGCCTCAAAATGCAGCGTCTCACTCACTGCATTGGCGACATGAGGGTCCTGCAAAATGGAACTGTCGACTCTGATCACTCGGTCCATGTGATCAGTGGCTCAAGGGTTCCACTTTGCTACTTCCACTGTCTGCGGAAGAGGAGGAGTCTGCTGTCACCGATGTTGCTGTTGCTGCTGTTGTTGTTGTTGAGGAGCAGGAGGTAACCCACGGCCCCTCCCACTTTGCTGCTGAGCGGGGGAGGCCCGGGACCCCCTCCCAAGATCGTCGTGTCTATGTTTGACCCTCCTCTCCTCCTCTATATGAGGATCTCGGTCACGCACTTGACCCCGACTGACGACTCTTGAGGAGGGGGTGACGCTGGTCCCTACAGATGGGGTCCCACCGGCCGATCCTCGTCCCCTCCCAACAGCGAGGGCTTGCCTCTGCCTGAGCAACCCTAAATCAATACGGGGCACGCCGGACATAGCTACCTCAAGGGCGTCCTCAACGTCGAGAGATTGTAGGATTTGGAAGTTCGGTCAGGAGTCTCTCCCCGAAGTCCCCACCTCGGCGTGCGAAGGAACCAAGTCCTCTCCAACCCCGAGCTCTTCAGCTTCACCCTCAACTTTAGCCTCCGAGGCCCGATCAGGGTCTTCTTCCAAGTTCTCCTCGACTTCTTCCCCCGTCGCCCGATCAAAGAGTTCAGACCACCGAGAAGGCTCGAAAGGCTGGGGAAGCTGCGAAAACTTTTTATACCCAGTGGTGTAATTCAGGAGGACGTGGGCAGCCCGGCCGAGCCCGTCGTCGCCAGTAAAACTCTAAACAGTGATTAAGTCTGCGAAATTCACCGACGATCGGGGTGGAGGTGCTGTTTTCCGAGGGGAGATGTCTGCACAAGCAAAAAGAAGGGAGAGGGTCATGAGCATGTAGAAAATTTCAGAAACAAAATAATAAGACCCGAAGGAACCGACGTACTTGTCGTTCTCCATTCCAATGGACATAACAATCCGTCATACTCGGGACCGACACCTCTCTGCCAAGATCCCCCGAAGATGAGTAGGTCATCCTTGTACCCCTTGTCCGAGTCAGGAAGGTGAGTTACGAGGTACATAGATGGGTCCCTGGCTTTGAGGTAGAAGTGTTGTTGAGGCGTAACTCTCAAAAGGGAATAACAAAAAAGGATATCGTCTAGCCCGACGTTTACCCCAAGACGCCTATTGCGCTCTAGCACCCCCATAATTATCCTAAAGACATTAAGGCAACATTGCCCGGGAAAGAGGTGGAAATGAGAGAAGAACTGGAGAAGCAGAGGGGGCAAAGGGAACCTAATTTCGCCTTCTATAATGGCTTTAATAAAAAATGGCATTGCATCCTCGGTACCGAGGGTACGAGGGTGCACAGCCGCATCATAATCCTCTACCTCTACATTCGGTGGAACGTCGTACCTAACTCTAAATCTATTAATTTGTTCACTACCTTTTACTTTATACTTCCCTGGTCTCGAGGTACTAGCCTGAGGCAGAACGACGACGAGGCATGTTCAAGAAGTGATAAAAATAAAGGGGGTTTTTCCACAAAGATCCCCAAGAAGGCTTCCCGGGGGTTGATAGCTGGATGACAACCAGAAAACACCTCCGGTAATCGAAAAACCAAAAGAGACAGAAGAGCAAAGAAATGGAGGATACTGGAACTCACCAGAGTGTAAGAAGAGGTATTTTCTGAAAAACTTGAATCGATTCCTTCCCAGAATGTTCAGAAACAAAGGATGGGTCTGCTTGCTTTGAAGTTTCAGTGAAAAGGTTGGACAGTTAAGAGACAGAAGAGAAGAGGTCTCCGGCGAAGATTCAGGCAAGGGCTCTCTGGAAGAAAAGTTCAGAATGACGAAATGAGAAAAAGAGGGAGGAAGCCCATTTATATAGTACCGGTCTCATCATTGGGCGCGAAATACAAAAGGACGCATTTAATGCGCACGACTCCCTAAGCAAGGGAAAGTGGCTAGAGGCAATGATGAAGCAGTTGAGGTTGTTGGGAAACCCTTCGTCTCCTTACGCCGCGTGTCCTCGGCGTCAGAAGATCAAAGGCTAGGGGGCAGTTGATGGGACTTTTCTGAAATACTCCAAGATGAAGACACGTGTCCTCGGGCGTCACTAAGAATCCTATAAACTGAGATCACGTACCATCGGCTTATAAATCCCTCGCCCCGAGGTGCTTGATACGTGTCGAGTACGTTTTACGAACCGACACGTATCCCTCGGTCTAATATGGTACCTCGGTCTTGTATTGTACCTCGGTCATCATGTACGGCTTTCCTCGGCTCGAGATGTACCTATCCTCGGTACCGAGATGTGCATTCCCTCGGTACCGAGATGTACCCGTCCAAGATGCCTTTTTCTCTGCTCCAGTATAAGTTATTGATGTACAGGTCACTAGCCTAGGCTAGTCTAGGTTAGCTATCATGGTCTCGTCTTACACAATTGATGTCAGAAGGAACAGGAAGACAGAGTCCACAGCCAATAAGGGATGGACGCGTGGCAAATTTTGTCACATCAGAGACAGAAAGACCGCATGCCCTTACTGACACGCGACTTGTGAAAACAAACATTTAATTACACCATTCCATTGATGAGACCGCATTCAATGCGGTAAGGCTCGGAATTGAAAGACAATAAATGTCTCTAAGGCTGGGCATTTATTACATCCTCCCCGAGCGGAGATCATTAGACATTCGGCAGCCCGATGACACAACATTGATTGCTCGGCACCCCAAGCAGTTAAAGAAAGGAAGACATTCCTCATCAGAATCAGTGCGCACACTGCCTGTATCTAATGATCATCTACTGACAACACTGACAGCAATCATGAGCTTTTGAGATATAAATATTCCTCATAAAAGGCAAAAAGGTATGCAACAAGAGACTTTTTACTACGAAATATACTCAGTGCTTTCTTCTTCCTCTCCCTTTCAAAAACTGACTTGATCGTCGGAGGGGATAAGCCAGAAAATACTCCGGCGCCCTTCTAACTTGTCCTCCTTTGTTCCGGGGACCTTTTCCCAGCCTTACTGGATCATTCATTCAGTTCACGAGGGTCTCTCGTTACCGTTCCAAGTTACCACCGGACCTCACAGGCTGTCCCAAACAGCATGGTTGATCACTCAACTGACTCACTCGAATTCACCAAATGAGAGATCTGTTCTCATTTTTTATATTGTGCAAGATCCTACACGCACACAACCCATTTTCAAAAGAAATTAAGAAACTCAGCAACCCCTAAGCAACTCAGCAACCCCTTTTTACTTATCCAGCAGAGGATATGCCCGTAAGTGCTGGTATGTAGAGTTTAGGTTAGACAGCAAGTACGGATGAAAGCCGTGTTTGGAGAGAGATTCTTTATATTCAAACCTTCATTAAAGTCAACGAGTCAACGAGTCAACAACCCTATGTACGCAATTCCAAACTTACCCTCCACTCGTCTTTTGTCTACGTTATCCTCTTCTCTCGCCCAACTCTCGCGAGTCTTAAAGCACTGTACATATCATCAAACCCTTTCATTTTCTTTCTCTGTCGTCTCATTTTCCGGAATCCCCCGTTTGTGGTTTCAGTTTCTCGAGAAAATTAGAAGCAAAAATTTTCCTTCTCTCCAATCACTCCAATTCTGATTAGATCCTAGGTTCGGTGCATGATCTGAAAGACTGATCAAAAACCGTCGATCTGAAGAATGGAAAGGATCGTTGGAGGTAAATACAAGCTCGGCCGTAAAATCGGAAGTGGATCATTTGGTGAAATCTATCTCGGTGAGTTACATGTATTTTATTATACATACTCGATCAATTTGTAAAATTGATTTTGTGAATAATTTTTTGGAAATCGAGTTTAAACTGTGGTTGATGGCTGCTGATTATTGTGTGTTTCATCTGATTTTGTATGATGCAGCTACGCATATCGATTCTTTCGAGATCGTGGCTGTGAAGATAGTAAGCCTTTATCTTTTTTTCTCAGAATTGTTCATTGAGTCAATTTTTTTGATTTCTCTGATCTGTTAGTTCTAGATAATTTCTTATTAAGATTGGGTCGTATGTTATAATTGTCTCATTTTTGCGTTATCCTAGTGCCTTTGTCAATTGGATTTGTTGTAACTAGTATTCTTTATTGTTAATTTGCAGGAGAACAATAAAACAAAGCATCCACAGCTTCTATATGAGGCCAAACTATACAATATTCTTCAGGGAGGAAGTATGTTTCATATGAAATAAAAATGTTTTGTGATTTATGATATTTGTGCATAGATGCTTGGTTGTATTTCGCTCCTTTTGATTTTGCAATTGGTTAATCTTTTAGGTGGTATACCTGGCACAATGTGGTCTGGCATAGATGGGGATGACAATGTTTTAGTCCTCGATTTGCTAGGACCAAGTCTTGAAGATTTGTTTGTCTATTGTGGTAGGAAGTTTTCATTGAAGACAGTCTTAATGTTGGCTGATCAAATGGTAATCATTATTTTTCATCATAATGCACTACAAATTCTTATATGTTGATTTGTTGATGGATCAATGGTTCACTAAGCCGAGGGGCCATGTAATTTGCTGTTTAAGTTGTCCCTGTTCCGGATAAAAGGTTGAACACATTTATGTAATAAAGCTTTTAGGATTCATGTCATGTTTATTTCAAGAAGTTTGTTTTATTTTTGCTATGTGGCATAGTGTTCATTTGAATTTTGGACCTTTTTCATTTTATTTAGGAATTACTTGGTTACCGTACACTCATCTTATTTCCACTCCATTCTTTTCTTCCAGGTGACAAGGATAGAATATGTGCATTCTAAAGGGTTCTTGCACAGGGATATTAAGCCTGATAACTTCCTCATGGGTCTTGGTCGGAAAGCGAATCAGGTGATAACAATTGGAAGCCTTACTTTTTATGACTTGTTTTTTTTTATTATAGTAGTTCTTATCATTCATGTCCTTTTATTGCATTTATCAGGTTTACATTATTGATTTTGGGCTCGCAAAAAGATATCGAGATGCAACAACCAACAGACATATTCCTTACAGGTAACTCTCCAGTTTACAGTCTACTTGTGGTGAACCTTTTTCGACTTTAGAGATCTCCTTCCCATGATGTCGACTCTATCATGTTGCAGTTCGATTTGGGTTTTCTAATTCTCCTATACTTTATTGGTCTGTACGTTGTGCGTGTAGATTCTAGGGAAAACAAAACTATATGGATACTTCATTTGAAATTTGGAAACAATATAGTATTGACGATTTGGTTACTCTCTATTATCTTATATAATGTCGTTTGCAACTTGTGCAGATTGATTCATTTTGGTAGAAGTAATGCATCTCTACTCACACTTTCAATTCCTGTGTAATGGTTCATAGTGAACAGTATCTTGTGCTTTCTTGTTGTCTTGTACAGGGAGAACAAAAATTTGACAGGTACGGCGCGCTATGCCAGTTGTAACACTCATCTTGGAATTGGTGAGCATCAAATGTTCAATTTTTAATTATATTTTTGGCATTCTTTATGAGGGGGTGGATTTGGGCTTGAGGACATTTTATTCACCTCCTTTGGTCTCTTCTTTGTAGAGCAAAGCCGGCGGGATGATTTAGAGTCTCTTGGTTATGTACTACTATATTTCCTGAGAGGAAGGTATGCCACTTCTTCTTCAGTGTTTTTTATCTTTTTTTTTTTTGTAACTATGTTTTGTTGAATTCATTCTTATGCTAGTATGGATGTTGCATGAAAATTTGTTAATGTTAAAAAGGTAAAAATACATGTGTGCTTATGAGTGCATAGCCTCTAGACTTTTGTTTTTCTTTTGGATTATTTTTTGAATTTTGACTGGCCCATCAAATTGTGTACAGCCTTCCATGGCAGGGTTTAAAAGCTGCCACAAAGAAGCAAAAGTATGACAAAATATGTGAGAAGAAGTTATCAACCCCTATTGAGGTACTTAAATTCCATACATCTATCTGCTCACAGTTTCAGTCTTTGCTCTATTTCTGTGGTTTATGTATTGTGAATGCCATTTTTCTGAAGGTTTTATGCAAGTCTCATCCGGTGGAATTTGCATCATACTTCCATTATTGCCACTCACTGACATTTGAACAACGGCCTGATTATGGATTTTTGAAACGCCTGTTCCGAGAATTGTTTACTCGTGAAGGTATTTGCTTCCAAAGTCCAGTACCTTACTATGCACATAAATGGAATCATACAATCTTGCTTTTTAGCCAGTATCTAAATGTTTGGTGTGGATCATCCATATGACAATGTATGTGCCATTATAAAAAAATAGGCTAAAGTATCTGTGTGTGTGTGCATATATGTGTATGAACCCCTCAATGGGCCCCTTGAGAGGTCATGCGACCCTGAAGCTCAATAGATTGGTTAACTTGCGACGGAAAGGCTTTATAAAATTATTTTGGCTGGGTTTTAGAAGTATGCCTACACGTATTTATTTTGAAAAGCTTAAATGTAGTGGTGGATCCTTAAGTTTGGGGGTTTGAATGTGAGGATAGTCACTTTGTGTGTACTGTTAAAGGTTACTTCACTTTTTAGATACTCTTTAAATACAACCACAAACATTACACAAAGATAAACAGGTCAGGTTGATACAAAATGATTAGTTGAATGGGTTGGGTTAGGGTTGACTAGTGCCCGACATGAAACACGCCACAACACAACAATATTGCCACCCTAGTTTTATTTCTAGGTTTTGTCACCTATCATCAATTTTATGCACCTAAGTGGTTAATTTATTTATTTATTTGTCTTGCAGGATATGAATTTGATTACATATTCGATTGGACCATCCTAAAGTACCAACAGGCACAAAAGAGTAAAACTCGACCACATGTATCAGTCAGTATTCTTGCTACTTGGTTTCTTAATTCCTTTTTCTGGAAGTTATTTTCTTAAATTTACTCCAATCAGTTACATGGAGGAGCATACAAATTTGATATAATGAATGTTTTCTAAGCAATTTTTCAGAGCTTAGTTTTATACTTCTATATTTATTGCATGAATGTAAAAGTTCCAGCATGAAAATGGGATATAATGTTCCTGTTGAATTTTACAGCCAGTCCCTGGGGAGAGCAGCAGTCGAGCTGTGCAAATGGACGTGGACAAGCATCAAGGTTAGATCCTACTTGTGTGCTTCTTGATAAAGTTATTTTCCATGAGTAGAAGAATGGTGTAGCAAACTTCTGAGAAATTTCAACTGTTTCCAGTTGCTCATCCTGTTTCGCGTGTTTTCAAGGAACTCCTGGAGTTGAAAGAATTTATTGTCCTCTGCTGGATCATGCATTCAAAATGAGAAACAAAAGATACCTGAAAAATTTGCCAAATTGGTCAATTTTTAAAGCCAGTCACCATAAGTTGTTTCTCAGCCTAGCAAATAGGCCAGAAAAGTTTATATTTTTTGAGGGGTGAATACTTGATTACTTTTTGACTCTAAAGAAACTAAAATTAGGACTTGTTCCTTGTTAAATGTCCACAGGCAACAATGCTACTTATCCAGCTGAGGTAACAGAACGAATGAGATCAAGTAATCCTGTTAGTCCTCGCATTCGCATGCAATTTAAATCCCCACCAGGAAGGAACATAAGCTCTGACAATCCCCTTGAGAGAAATGTAAGTTATGTCATCGTGTTTGAACTAGAAAAAAAATGTTACTTGTTATGAATGTAAACTCTCGTCAACAACAAATCCCGTTAGTCCTCGCATTCGCATGCAATTTAAATACCCACCAGAAAGGAACATAAGCTCTGACAATCCCCTTGAGAGAAATGTAAGTTATGTCATTGTGTTTGAACTAGAAAAAAAATGTTACTTGTTATTAATGTAAACTCTCGTCAACAAGATGGTGGTATGACAATGTTGTTAAATTTGGGATTTTTTCAAATATGATGCAACTCATTTTTTGTGACATTGCCATTTTTCCTGGGCTGTTATCGTTATGCTCAGTTGGATACTTAACGTAAAATGTTGATTCTGCAGATTGTTAGCAGTGCTCGCATGCCATCTACTTCGTTTTCTCCTGCTCCTGTACCAAAAAGAAATGCCTCAAAACCAGGGTTGCCTGCTGATACCACAAACCCTGATCAAGGGCATAGTGACAATATTGGTCCTTCAAGCAGTTGGATATCTTCCCTACGCCGCATTTCTTCCACCAAGTGATCCACATGGTAATCTCATCCAACTCAAGCAATCTTTTCTGTCTCTTTTGGGCTGTGCTATTCACAATACTTCCATCATTATTTCTAGTAGTAGAGTTTTTTAACCAAAAACCCCGTCATATTTATGCTGTATGACAGATCCGGTCAAAATGTTGGAGATGCATCATGTGCGGATGTGCCATTTTTTATGTATATTTCAAGTTTGTCCTCTGTTACCAGCTTGCGTTCCAAAGGTTCAAGGTTATTCCAAATCCAATGTCTAACTCTTTGATACAGACCGCCCAGTGTTGGCCGACAAGGTTAAGTGATGCATCATCTATGGAGGAGCAAGCATGCTACGAATGTGAATTGCACTACTCTATGGTTTGAAGCTCGGGTTAGATATTTTTCCTCTATGAATGCATTGGTTGATCCTTGAATACAGATCAGAGCTTGGTTCCTGTGCCGTGCATAGATGTTACAAATTACTCGCAGCAACTTTTGTTCTATGGTCCCATGTAACATGAATGATAAGTGAAGTGTTTTACCTAATTCTTCTCAACAGATCATACAGTTACCTTTGTTAATATGGTGGTTGTCAACATTGTTTCTTTCAATTGGTTCGTGGTTGTCGGTTGCCTGTGTTGTAATTTGATTGCTTTGTATTTCTGGACAAAGACCCTATCTCTGGGTCAGGAACAAGAAGATGTTGGTGACTGGATTTTGCTTGATTTGAATGAAGCTCGGAATTTTAATATTTCAGATGTCAATATCTTAAACTTTCTATTAAAGAGCATATACTGTTTCACGCGAAAATGTCTTTCACAACTTCCTCTATGATAGAACTTTTTTTCTGCTGATGATGCTTCTTAAATCAACTTTTTCCTTCTCGGAATTACATAGCCAATTCTAATACAATATGCACGGATCAAGTCGGGAGAGAATTCTTCCCTTTTTCACACAAATATGTGTGTGTTTTTGTGTGTATTGTCTTGCTGTTTATTGCATCTATTCATTATCATTCATCGTAAGATTCATGGTTCGTCCAGCTGTCATATGGTTATGGGATTTGTTAGTTTTCCCAGTTTCTCTTGTAAATATGCCAGCAAGACTGCATGTTTTAATTCAAGATTAGTTTCAATTTAAAGTTTTATTCTTAAATCATAATTTATTTCTTGCAGTTTCTTATCAAATCTCATATTTTTGGAAAAGATGTGGCTTATTGATTATTATATTGTAAAGGTATTGTGAGTGAGCCTCTCAATTATGAGTTCACCTTTGCAATTTGCAGGATTTTCGCTTTGGCTGGATGGTGTCTCGCAAGGGTGGAGGTAGGTGGGGAATGTTATATGAAGATAGCCATGATCTCAACAAAACAATGCAGCCGGCTGCTATTATTCCTGAGAAGAAGAGGGTGTCTTCTACTGTGGGCAGGTGAAGAAGGAAACATTTGATCTTCCGATTTATTTGTGTTGTGGTAAACATAAGTTCTGTTTGTGTTTTTCAGAGTGTCCAAGGAACAGGCTTTACATCTTATCTTATCTAAGAATAATTTATGAAACTGGTTAAGGAAGGATGACTGGGTGAGATATTTTACAGTCAAAATTGCTGGATTTCTAAAGAGACTGCTACCAATACTTGTGCTCCCTCATTTTGGTTGCTTATGCTCTGATCCAGCAGCTTGTCAAAGCTGCGGAAGATGGAAGGATGGGCCAAAGGGGTTTGGGCTGAATGTGACTGGCGAAGAATCTGATCCTGAATATCTGTCTTTCCCTTGACATAATCTAGTGTTTATATGGTAAAGCTGCAGAAAAGGGGAAGACAGACAGGTGGTTTAGTGTATCATATGTCACTTTGAATGTAGCTGAAGAATTTTTTGGGAGTGTGGTTAATCCCAACTGGGGTAGCAATGCGTTCTCCATTATGGTCATCCTCACTGGTGGGGTTTGTGGACAACTAAATGGTCAGGTATGCTTGGATTTGTGCTGGTCCAACTGAAACATGGAATATGGTCATACGTCTCACTTCTCACTTCTCAGTATGTGTTCATGCTTTTTTGCTTTTTGAACTGGTTTTTGGATATACATTTGCCAGATGCTTAGATTTGGAAGTTCGTATGACAGCTTCACATGGGCCTCACAGCATCATATGAGCTTTAGGTTTTCTTGTGTTGGTATCACTTGGTTTGCCAAATAGCTGTGGGGCATTTGTCTCCGAGGTTCATATCCTTTACCCTTACATCATCCCTCTCCTCCAATTCCTTCTCATCTGAATGCATAGGTTATTATTTAGTTTTTGTTTTGGGCAGAAAGGAAAACCAAAGAGGGGAAAGAAAAAGGGGAAAGAAAGGAGGGGGGGGGGGGGGGGGGGTTGTTCACCTTTTTAAGGTATAATTTTTGAGCCCTTAACTTAGGTATTCCAAAATGAGTAGTCGTATTTGTTATTGGATACGTTGTAGAAATGGTATCGTGATGAATTGAACCCGATATCAGGGGTGAATGTTCCGAGACACAGAGGACCAGCCAGAAAAAGTTTACATGTTATATTGTGGCTGATGGGCACAATATAGTTCTGTTGATCCTATGGCTGCATTGAAATTTATCTCAATGCCTCCATCATTTGGCCGTTTTACATTTACACAACTGACAGTCTTTTTTTGTTCTGTTTCTGCTCGGGGGTTGTGGTGGATGGAGTTTTTGCGAACATGAACCCATCAAGTATAGTCATACCTCCCTGAAGAATGCATGCCCTGCTGATTGGTTTTGTTCTTTTGTCGTGCACTTTGTTCTTCCAGTTCTAAATTGTTTTATTGTGGATTGCAGTAAGAGGATGAGCTCGTAACTATGTGGGATGTTTGGTCTAAGTAGCAGAGTAGGGTTGAGAATGGCATGAGTCCGTGGTTGTGTGGGCAAGTTTGGGCAGTGATTGGTTTGATGACCCCATTTGCAAGATCATATGGGCTAAGGTGGGCATGGGAAGAACATTGAGTGGTACATTCAAAAATGCTGTGTAGGGATAGGGTGTCTGGCATTAGAAATCTGCTAGCTAGTTGGCATGTGGTGGTAAGGGTGCAAGCCGAGCAGGTTCAGAGGTCAGTCCAGGATCAATCCTGAGTTTTAAAACACAATATGAGCTCAATCAAACCCGATGAAGTATAGCCGTGTACTGCCCATTTCTAAACCTTAGAACTCGGATTACACAAGACGGGTTGATATTAAGGTGAAAATGAGGTTCGAATAAGATTGAAATGGATTTAATGATAGCTGGAATTCAGGTTTGGTCCCATAAAGCGTAGACCCCAATTTGGGTTGAATATTTTTTACCTAAGCTCAATCTGAGTATCAAAAAATTGTTATGTACTATATATTTTGGGTTGGGTTGGGTTTGGGTTTGGGTTCATCTGTCAAGGTGAGCTCTTGGTAGGATGAACTTCGTAAATTTTTAAATTAGTATTTGACACCTAACGTTTTATATTGGTCTTTTTACGGTTCTAAGTTTAATGTAAGATTGTGGTGTAGCCCAAGTTACTGTATTGGGATAAAGAAGTAAGTAAAAATTAGTTATAATTCATCGTGAGTCAGGTTATGACTAAAAATGTCAGTTAAGACTCGACGACATAAATTTATGATAGAAAAAAAATTAAGATAAAATTCTAAACAAGTTATGACTAGAACTATTAGGATATCTAATTCCATTTGCTCCCTTTGTTTTTGTCGCTCAGTGTCAGTGTTGTCCTAGAAGTGTCTTTGTCATTGTTCTTTTCGATCTTGATGAATTCCACTGCTCCACCAGAAATTCTTTTTACCATTGCCGTATTTTAACTTGGTAGTTTTTACCACCTGTCCAAGGTTGAGCCTTGAAATTTCAAGCACGTTCGGAAAGGCCTTTTTCGTGGACTAGAACATTGGTTGCCCATCCCTCATGTGATTGATTCATGTATTGACTGAAGTACATGTATCATTGAATCTTCGAAAAATCTATATGTAAAATTGTTATATAAGTGAGCCGATTGAAAGGAAGATGGGACGAATTGCTCAATGGAACTGATCAACTGGGTAGAGCTCACAATCATTCAAACATGTTGGTTTAAATGAACTGAATTGCAAAAAAAATGTCAGAATTGATCCTAAATAATTCCTTCTTTTTTTTTTTGTGTGTATTACAAATTCACCAGATTGTGTCATAATTTCACCTTGATAACTAAATTACGATACTAAAAAGTGAAACTAGGGTACCTCGGTAACCCATTAAGTTTAACAAAGTAACAAAGGGTTGCTGACCCAGGTGTTGATAAAGGGAACAACATAATTCTGCAATGGCAGATTTTGTTTGAGAGTTGAGATAAGGAGTAGGCAAAATGCAGAGATTGACCCATCTCCATGTGGTCTCAATTTTATTTGAACCATTGTCTTCATACAACAGTCATTGCATCCGAAAAGGCAAGCCACACTGTTTTCTAGCACATGATCTTGTTTATCCACTTGCACCATAATACTCAAACTGAGTATAAGCATTCGAGTGGATTTTAATTTTTTTTTTCTTTCCAAAATCTATTAGAGAAGAGATGAAAGGAGGGAATGCCTATGAGATGGAGTGGTTTGTGAACAAGTTTGAGGTTGTTCATCATTTAGATCGAGTAATGTTTTGTAAAATCTAATTTATAAACAAGAATATGTTTGAGCTCGAGTTGACCCGAGTGATGCCATATTCAAATTCAACTTGTTTAATATGTTATTTGAATTTGACTTATTTACAGTACGAGTTGAGAAATATAATAAAAGATTGATTTATTTCAAAATTTGAACAAATCGAACTCGAATTACTCGGATCGTTTAACTCAATCACTTCACCTTTTATGGTTGCCATGCAGTAGATTATGTTGTTTAAAGTTTTTAGCCACAAAGTGATTTACGACTGCATTCATTTTCATGAACTTCTGCATAAATTAGGCATTGGTACTACTACAATTAAGCTGTATGCAATCTAAATTGGACCATGATCTCAAATTCAAAATTATGTAAT